AAGTTATCTACTGCAGCTTTAAATATCAACTACACTAGATAGCTACTCTGCTAATGTTGAAGGTTATGAATATGGTCATCAATGGCTATTGTAATTACTGCTTTAATAAGAGTTTTAGTTGGAAAGGTTTAATGTCAAAGAACAAACTAAAAGTCAAAATATTACAAATATACATAAAAGTCAATCAAAGTATTACAAATACAATGTCCTCAATATGTCCTTCAGTTTGCCAGTTAGCTTATGTGCATTTCAAAAACGTATGGCACTTTTATGCCAGAAATTAGACTAATTCTGCCTCTAGAGCAGCTTTGCTTCCTACAAATGTTTATCAAACTAAAACAGATGCACAACTGAAGCTGCCACGCTCACGGTGCGATTACAAGACAGCAGAGTATAAAATATAATTCAATTCAATTCCAATTCCATAACAGAAGTTATCTCAGAACACTTTTCCAAATAGAGCAGGTCTAGTCCTTTTAACATTTACAGAGACCCAACAGTACCATATAAGGGATGGAGACCTAAATGCAGCCATTTAACTAACAGTCTTTTAACAGCTCCATCATTTGTGTCCTTGTTGGGTGTGAGGCCGTGCTCTATTCATTAACCCCACTCCAGCTACAATAACCTGCCCTGCACTGTCCCCTTACCAGTCATGATGAATTGGCTTGCTACATTGTTGGCTGAGCCCAAGGCTGAAGTTTGTGCGAGCTTTGACAGGGTATAATTCACCCTGCCAGCCTTTTCAATAACACTCGCTATATATCAGTGAGGAAAAAAGTCTCACTTCAGTTTATCTCAGCAGGCTGGGCCAGTCTTGTTAACCAATACTGAAGGAGAAGCAGTCTAATAAACTGAAAAGATTTGCTGTAAATTGAAATATACATCTTGCAAAAATGTGACACCTACTTTACAAAATAATCAATAAAACAAAATTTGAATTGACTGCACTTTTTAAAGGAGTCTTGGCAAAATTATGTCCTTGGTTGACAAAATTGCAGCAGTTGCAGAGATTTAAATTCTTTATTTGTATGTAAAATTTATGGTATTTGGGAATGAGAGAATGATTTCCTGGCCAAATATTACATTCTACTTTAGCTGCAGAGGGGCTGTCACTTCAATTGTGGAGGAAAAAAAGTTTTTAGAGTAGAGCTAGATGTCTCACTGCAAAGAGTACATTTCATTCTACATCTGAAACGAGGCAGCTGGGAAATGTGTGTGGGGAAAGTAAGTGAGAAATACTCTCCAGCTCCCTAAACCGCACTGCTGAGGGGCCCTTGAGCACAGAGAAGCTGCTTGGTGAACAACAGCAGACGACTGTGTTCATACTTAGAGGCTCACACACTAACAGTAGAGAATACATTGGCTGAAGAAATAAAGTCCTGCTTTCTCAAATTAA